CTCAGAAGATCCTGTAACCAGGGCCCTTGAACTGTTGATTGGCCCACTCCTACCCTACAGAGTGTACTTTCATTTTCAATAAATCTCTGCTTTCGTTGCTTCATTCTTTCCTTGCTTTCCTGTGTGTTTTGTCCAATTCTTTGTTCAAAACACCAAGAATTATTTATGATCTCACATATAATTTGGAAACCATTGCTAAGTCTACTACTAAAGCATTCATGGAGGCTCTTCAGGCTGGTGCAGACATCTCAATGATTGGGCAATTTGGTGTTGGCTTTTATTCCACATACCTGGTGGCAGAGAAAGTGGTTGTGATTGCAAAGCACAACAATGATGAACAGTATGCCCAGGAGGCTCCTGCTGGAGGCTCCTTCACTGTGCATGCTGACCATAGTGAGCCCATTGGCAGGGATACCAAAGTGATCCTCCTCTTTAAAGAAGATCAGACAGAGTACTTAGAAGAGAGGTGGGTCAAAGAAGCAGTGAAGAAGCACTCTCAGTTCATAGGCTATCCCATCACCCTTTATTTGCAGAAGAAACAAGAGAATGAAATTAGTGATGATGAGGCAGAGGAAGAGAAAAGTGAGAACGAAGAGGAAGACAAAGATGATAAAGAAAAGCGCAGGATCGAAGATGTGGGTTCAAATGAGGAGGATGACAGAAGAAAACTAAGAAGATCAAAGAGAAATACATTGATCAGGAAGAACTAAACAAGACCAAGCCTATTTGGACCAGAAACCCTGATGACATCACCCAAGAGGAGTATGGAGAATGCTAAAAGAACTTCACCAATGACTGAGAAGACCCCTGGCAGTACAAGCAATTGCTGTAGAAGGTCAGTTGGAATTCAGGGCATTGTTATTCATTCCTTGCCGGGTTTTCTTTGACCTCTTTTAGAACAAGAAGAAAAAAGAACATCAAACTTCATGTCCATCATGCGTTCATCATGGACAGCTGTGAGGAGCTGATACCAGTGTATCTCAACTGTATCTGTGGTGTGGTTGACTTTAATGATCTGCCCCTGAACATCTCCCAAGAAATGCTCTAGCAGAGAAAAATCTTGAAAGTCATTCTCAGAAACATTGTTAAGAAGTGCCTTGAGCTCTTCTCTGAGCTGGTAGAAGACAAGGAGAATTACAAGAAATTCTATGAGGCATTCCCTAAAAATCTCAAGCTTAGAATACATGAGGACTCTACTAACTGATGCCACCTATCTGAGCTGCTGCACTATCAGGCCTCCCAGTCTGGAGATGAGATGACATCTCTGTCAGAGTATGTTTCTCGCATGAAGGAGACACAGAAATCCATCTATTACTTCACTGGTGAGAGCAAAGAGCAGGTGGCCAACTCAGGTTTTGTGGAGTGAGTGCAGAAGTGGGACTTCAAGGTGGTATATATGAGAGAGCCCATTGATGAGTACTATGTGCAGCAGCTCAAAGAGTTTGATGGGAAGAGCCTGGTCTCAGTTACCAAGGAGGGTCTGGAGTTACCTGAGGATGAGGAGGAGAAGAAAAAAATGGAAGAAAGCAAGGCAAAGTTTGAGAACATTTGCAAGTTCATGAAAGAAATCTTAGATAAGAAGATTGAGAAGGTGACAATCTCCAATAGGCTTGTCTTCACCCTGCTGCACTGTGACCAGCACCTACAGCTGGATAGCCAATATGGAGTGGATCATGAAAGCCCAGGTACTTCGGGACAACACTATCATGGCTATATGATGGCCAAAAGGCACCTGGAGATCAACCCCGACCACCCCATTGTGAGACGCCGTCACAGAAAGCTGAGACAGACAAGAATGACAAGGCAGTCAAAGACTTGACGGTGCTGCGGTTTGAAACCACCCTGCTGTCTTCTGGCTTTTCCCTTGAAGATCCCCTGACCCACTCCAACCACATCCACTGTATGATCAAGCTAGGTCTAGGTATCTATGAAGACGAAGTGGCAGCAGAGGAACCCAGTGCTGCGGTTCCTGATGAGATTCCCCACTCCTGAGGGTGATGAGGATGCATCTTGCATGAAAGAAGTCTATTAGGAGTTCATAGCTGGAAAACTCATGCCCTTGTATGGTGTTCCATACAAGGCTGCACTCCAACTGCAGCCTTGAGTGCCCTGTCCCATCTGGCTCCCCCTGCTGATGTTTAGTGTTTTCTTTCTCTCCGGTCCTTGTGTCGAAGGCAGAAAACAAGGGTGTCAAGCCCCCCTTTCCTCCCTGCTCTGACACCAGCACTGGATGTTGTGTATTGTGGATTATTTTTTAGTTTGTTCATTTTATTCTGAAATTAAAGTGTGCAAAATAAAGAATATGCCATTTTATATCAAAAAAAAGTCACAAAATGGTCACTGATAGAACAACTGCCAGCAGCAAGAGACAGGTCATTCGAGGATAACACCTGCAGGCCATTGCAGAGGCTCACAAGCAAAGGCCAAAACCCATGCATCCGCCCACCACTGCCAGAGGAGGAGTAATATTGATTTTGCCTCAGTTCATCTTTTCCTTTTTTTTTTTTTTTTTTTTTTACTATTTTGTAAAACTATTTTTAACTGAACATATTCATAGGGTACATAGTAATGTTTCTATATGTATAATATACAGCAATCAAATCAGGGTCATTAGCACATTCATCATCTCAAATCTTCCCTGCAGCTATTTGAAAGTATATATTTTTGTTAACTATAGTCATCCTACAGTGGTATAGAGCACGAGGATCTATTTCCCTCCTATTTAGCTATAATATTGTAAACTTTCACAAAACTCTTCCCACCACCCTGAACCCATCTGATCTCATCTGCCCACTTTCTAATCACATCTTAGTGCCCATCATGGTTAAATCTAATCTGAAACCTTGCTGCAAGGAATTCTGGAAAATATCCTTCCCAGGCTTCAGCCCCTGTGATTTAGGGAAGAGCATGGAGTCTCTAGCCCAGATGAGTGGGAATGGGTGCTGACATTGGCGGTCGACTCTCCTGCACAGTCAATTGCTCAGTCCCCACAATTTTCAATTGAAAATATTGTGTATGGAATAGTAAAATTCCTTCTTCTTCATTGTAGCTCAGTGTAAGCCCAAAAGCTCGGTTTTGGACCCAAAGTTGAGAAACAGAGCTTTGATCACCTAAGTGTCCACAGGTCCCCTGAATCTTACATTTGTCCTGAGGAAATAGCAGGTAGAATTATCCCGGTGGTAGAATTCAATTCCCTGAAGGACTGGACAGCTGGTGGGCTATTGACACAACATTGCTACCTTCAAACAAAGTGGCAGGCCAGCACTGGAACCAATATGCCTGGCTTTCAGGATCTTTTCCCACTTTTCCTCTCTTCCTTGCTGCTCAATCATGCCAGCTCATCCCATTCAACCTCCAACACAGAACGCCCAGGAGTGTAATATCCTTCCTAATGGATCCTAATTTACCATCAAAAAGAGCCTCCATAGAACATTAAAATAGACTCCCCAATTAAGAGCAATGGAAGCCGACTGTTTTCTCTTTGAGGCCCCCTCTGCACAAAATATTGTCTCATTTCTATTTTTCTGGGGAGAAGTTTTCTATCAGTCCTGGGAAAGATTAGTCCCCATTTTAGAATGGCCTAAAATATTATTTCTTTTCATTCCAAAAAGAAAGACAAAAACGTTGAGTGTTCATGTAATGCTGTAAATGTATTAAGCCCATGGTGCATGCACTGCTACTGAAGAATTCCCAGGCACTGAGATCGAGGCCAAGGGCAAATGATTGTGGATTTGAGACTTCTCTGGATTAGGACTCGCCTGAGTTCGGATTGATAAAATTTGTGACAGTCATTCAGAAATGCACATTCACCAGGAGGGCAGCCATGATAAAATCATATTATGTGCAAATTATATTTTACAGAAAACAGAATTGTCTTTACTTGTTCCCAGTAAATTGACAATTTTCCTCTCAGTAGGCTATGCAGATAAAGTGAACCCAAACACCATGTGTCTCCTAATGAAAACCTAAAATCACAAATACATTTAAGTTGCAGAGGGAGTATTCAAAGCACATTGGTATAGATGAAAAAAATGGGCTCCTGTGTAAAAACCAAGTACTCTGCCCTCTTGAGTTAGGCCAAGAGAGTGTTTCATGTAATCTACTAGGAGGTCCACAATATAGCTCTTGCTCCTAAGAACTCTTTTCTCGACCTTTTGGAAACAGATCCCTTGAAAATCTGGGAAATGGTGAACCCCACAGAAATCTGTTTACTAGAGCTTTATCTGCTTCATGTGCTTCCCAACCCTCTAGTCCTGGTACCTTTAGAGCACTCCCCCGCCCCACTCCATGTGTTCTGTAAGAATGTCAATATCAGTGTTTGGGGGCAGGGTGCAAAGATGACTCAGGTTGATCAACCAGAATGGCTCAACACCCTAGTCTCAGTAAGTGGTGATGGTTGTCTATATGACCCATATAGGGGTCTGAGAGTCATTTTCTTACCACTGGTGGTACGAAGCTAGGAGATATGAGTGTGGATCATCCTTGGTGGCCTTTGAGTCCACAAAGTAAAAAGAACTCCAAATTAGAATGAAGTCAGGGGCAAGCTGAGTTGAGAGGCAGACAAAAACAGAAACAGCGCAATTACATTCAGCCACTCTGGAAGTTATTAGGGAGTTGGGTACAAGCTCCTGGAAAATAAGCCAATAAATTACTTTTATATTCAAGATTTACTTTACTCAGCCAAGAAAGTCCAGGATTAAACAGATCCCCTCCCTAAAGAAAATGCATATAACTACCCATGAATAAAATAATTCATATAATTCCAAGAGCTTTCTGCATGTAATATCAAAGGTTAAAGCCATTCTCCGCCCCTCCCCCCAAAAAACGGAATCTGGTTCTGTCACCCAGGCTGGAGTACAAACGGCCAGATCTCAGCTCACTGCAACCTCCACCTCCCAGGTTCAAGCAATTCTACTGCCTCAGCCTTCTGAGTAGGTGGGATTACAGGCATGTGCCACCACACCCAGCTAATTTTTTTTTTTTTTTTTTTTTTTTGGTAATTTTAGTAGAGACGGGGTTTCACCATGTTGTCCAGGCTGGTCTCAAACACCTGATCTCAGGTGATCTGCCCACCTTGGCCTACCAAAGTGATGGGATTACAGGCGTGAGCCACCACGCCCGGCAGGTTAAAGCCCTTCTAAGGACCTCAGGTGAAGAACCCCTGCACATTGAGTTTACTTGGTGGCCTTAGGGTTGATTTTACCCTCAAAACTTTCTTCTTCCTATGGTACAAGGTTCTTTTACATGTTAAAATGTTAGTCTCTTGGAAGGTAAATATCACAGACCGTTAATAGTCAGTAACAACCATTAACAAACAGTCCGAGGATAATAACTGTGATTCAGAACAGCCTGCATAAAGTTGTTTGGCCACGAGATGATGAACAAGTGACATTTGGCTCTTATGATTTGAGTTCGAGCAAGTCATTTTTCCCATCTGAGAAATTTCTCTTTTTATATAATAAAAAGTTTTGACAGATTTCTAAAGGTCCTTTCACTAATGGATCTGTTAAATTAACCATAGGTGCTTCTCCCATTCTCGACTGCAATACAATTTAAAGCCAATCGAAAAAATAAAATACTTTTTCTATGTACACAGCACCTTTCCCATCCACCATCTGTGAGTCCCAGTGTTATAAAGACTAGGTTGGGTTTCTTATTCACCCAGGGAGTGTGTTAGAATAGTATGCAGAGGAGCCTCGCAGAATAATAAATGTATCATATTACCCTTTAGTAGCTACGCTTTTATTTATTCCAGGAAGTCTCCAATCTCAATTCAATCCTCTAGTTCAGCAATCTCCCTAGGAGGATTTGGAGATGAATGTGTTAATATGTATATGTAAACCTATTAAAAAGCAAAGCAAAGAATTTTATGATGAAATGCCAGAATATGTTGGAATATTCTCATTGGATAAATAAAACTTAGATTTTTATATTTAAAACATGGAAGTGCTTTTGTGCTAGATTCATCTCAAGAGAAAAATGAGTGGATGAATAACTGTAGCTGAAATATAGTGTTTTTTTTTTTTTTTTTTTTCAAAATCATAGAGTAGGATCCCAGTCTGTGTGCTCACCCTGAGATGTATTCATAGATGGTAATGATGGAGGAAGAATGTGGACTCAACAGAATATCTTTTAATATGGAAGAAAATAAGAGTATCCTCATTTGGGAAAACTCACCCTAGGCACTGCACACTCCTTTTTACAACTTTGGACAGACAGCAATGTGTTCGCATCAGTAGGGTGGCTCTAAAGGTCACTCGTGTTATCAGATAGCCCCTAGATCATGGACACAGGGCTCAGGCCTGATTATGGTAAGGGGGATGCTATAAAAGAGCAATACAAGTTAGAAGAATATGACAAGTTAAGTGCAAGGTGTCAGCAACGTTGAAGCCAATGACCTAGGCAACATGTGTTTGTGACCAGTCTCTGCAGCCTTGATGCAGGCACTGGTGGTATTACCAGCTGTCGTGAAAGCTTGGGCAGACACTTTCCAGAAGACATGCTGCTCTAGAAATAGAGAGTGTTAGAGGTACAAGGTGAACTCAACAATTCTAAGAGAACAGTTTCTAAGAGAACACAAGATGTACCTGCTTCTCAGGATTCTCACAACTATTTGGAAAACTTGGAGGGATACCTGAGAAAGTCTGGAGCTTTCCCCTGGTAAAGCAGACAAAGCTGCTTTACTTTTCATATCCCATGGCATTTTATGCAGAGAGCCACCCTGCTTTCCCTCAAAATGGTACAGCCTGCAGAACCGAAGTGCCATTAAGGGAAGCTGAGTAGAGCTTAGCACAAGCATGGTTGGAAGATCATTAGAACATGGAAATCTTGGGTTGGGTTCTGGTGTTTCAGGTCCACTGTCCAAATTGATATTAAATATTCAAACTGAGACCAGCTGCCAGACTTCCAACACCCTAGTACCAGTAAGTGGTGATGGTGGTATGGATTCCCTCTCTGGATTCCCTACTTCTAAACAGATGCTACAGTTTGTACAGATGCCTTTTTACAGAAACACCTGATGATTGGCAAGGTGTTGAAATGAGATTGCAGATACACATTGATATAAATGATACTTTAAAACCTTGGGCTTGAAATGAGGGAAGGGTGGATAGGCCAGTTTGCTGGTTAATTAATAGGCTACAAGTCATGGTTATTATTGTTACATGGTCTGTAATCCAAGAATCTGTACTTTATACAACTAAAAACAAAAAACAAACAAACCAGCTAAAAAACAGGCAAAGAACAGAATGGACATTTCTCCAGAGAAGACATACAAGTGGCCAATAAGCACAAGAAAAGATGTTCAACATCCCTAATGATTAGGTAAATACAAGACAAAACCACAATGAGATTCTACATCACAGCAGATGCAATGAAGTATCGTTTATCCATAAAAAGAAATGGGAGTCTGACACGTGTTGCAATGTGAATGAACCTTGAAAACATTATGCTAAGTGAAGTTACACCAGACCCAAAAGGACAAATCTAATATAATTCCACGTACTTTGAGGTACCTAGAGTAATCAAATTCCTAGAGACAGAAAGGATGGTGCTGAATGGTAGTTGCCAGAAGCTGACGAGAAGGAAATGGAAAGCTAGTGTACAATGGGGACAGAGTTTCAGTTTGGGAAACTGAAAAGGTTCTGCAGATAAACGGTGGTGATGGTTGAACAGCAGTGGATTTGAATACACTTAATGCCACTGAACTACATACTTAAAAACAGTTAAAATAGTAAATGTTATGTATATACCAAAAATTTTTAAATGTAGTTCTCTTCCTTTTGACATGTCTTTAAACAATGATCATGCACGTTGCTTAAGTCTTTGACTTTTGCTGGCCCTATGCCATTTGTTGAGATGGATGCCCTGTCACCAAGATGTGATTTAAATCACAATGAAGAATAAAGTTTACACTTCGAAGGCTCTCATTTGCAGACGTGACTAAGTGAACTCACATGATCCTGTGCAACCCAGGCTACCACCAAGCAGCAGAGAACAGGAAGAGACAAAGAAAAATTAGACAACAATGTCAAAATGTTAAGCCGCTGCTGTCTTGAGTGCTTGGAGGCACCATTAGAGACTGGGATCCTACTTCAGGGGGCAGGTATTTTGTCAACAAACTTCTTATCCTGTTCAGTTCTCTCTCACAGAGGCTGGCTTCTTATATGCAGCACATGTGGTTTATAAGAAAGAGAAGCGACAGCAAAAACCCCTCACATCACTCCTTGTGTTTATGAAGCCTTGTTTAGAGAGGCTTGAAACGGAAGTTCTTGGTCTATAATATGTCTTCCTTGAAAATTCTTTCCAGGCCTCCTTGAACCTTAGCACTATATAGAGATGCCAAGAGAGGAACCAAACCACCTTGTGTTTTCAATATCTACACCTATGTTTCTGGAACAAAGCTTTTGTGGGCAGTAAATTCTAAAACGCCTCACCTTTTTATAAAAGGGACATTGAATGGCATAGTAAATATTGCCAACACTTCTATGGAACACAAAACAAATTTATCTGGTTCTTGTTCAAATTTCCACTGCTTTCCTATTGGAGACTTACCTAAGTGACACCACAAGACCAGTTTCATTTAGATTCTCTCCTCTTTACAGTAGCCAAGTTGGAAATCAAAAGGTCTTTTAATAATAATATGTCATATTTCCTGTCATGTATTAACAACATGCCATACTTCCCATGATGTTGAAAAATTTAGGTACCATGGCAAAGCCAGTGAGGAGCTATTTTATCACTCTGAACCATAAAGTTCTTCCTCCCTGTAGGTAATTCTACTGCTTAAGTCAACATACCTGACTATCAGTCGTCTGAGGCTGCCTTAACCTTTACCCAATGCCCTCTCCATTACAATATCTAACAATTGAAAAATAGGCAGAAGAGTCATGTGGGATAAATTTTTCAACATGATAAATTGTGGAATGATGAGGACAACGGGTCAAAATGCTGCATTTGATTCCCTGTTCCATGATTTGAAGGGATAGTGAACAACATTCCACCACCCTGTGTCAAATACAAAAGTAAGCATAGAAACGCATCTCTTTAGTCTACTACAAGCCAGAAGACAGGGTGGAAAACTTGTAGGCTCACAGAAGTAGAGGAGAGGAGAAAGGAGGTGAGGGCAAGAGAAGAGAGGGGAAGAGAGGAGGGGAAGAAAAGAAGAATGCGTGAGCAATAACCTTCGGTACAGTAAACCCAACAATTATTAATTTGGGATAATAGTCTATTTCTAAAACACAATTCCATTGAGTCAAGCAGCAGACTTTGGGGTTAGACCCATTTGGCTATGTATTATTTCCCAGTGTAGAAGCCAATATTGGTTGGGTGACCCAAATATCATTTCCAGCCCTTAAAGTCTTACGTACATTTTTTAAATTCCTCTAAAAGCTAAAACTTGAGATTCGAGCCTGGCATGCAACTAGCAGTGGCCTTGTGACAGCATACCTCCAGACCATGAGATATCGAAAATAGTCCCTGGGGAGAGTGGCTGTGGCAGGCAGAATAATGACTTACAATGTTGTTCACATTCTAATCCCTGGAACCTGTGAATATGTTACCTTCCTTGGCAAAAGAGACTTTGCAGCTGGAATTAAGGTAAGGATCTTTCAATGATGAGTGATATGGTTTTGATGTTCTGTTCCTTTCAAATCTTATCTTGAAATGCAACTTCTGATGTTGGAAGTGGGGCCCAGTGGGAGGTGTTTTGGTCATAGGAGTGGATCCCTCATGAATTGCTTGGTGCTGCCCTTGCAGTAATGAGTAAGCTTTCTATGCATTTACTTGGGATCTGGTTGTTTAAAAGAATCTGCCTCCTCCCTTTCTCTCTTGCTCCCTCTGTCACCATGTGACACAGGAGCACCCCCTTTGCCTTCTGCCATGATTGGAACCTTCCTGAGGCCTCACCAGAAGCCAAGGAGATGCTGGTGCCGTGTTTGTGCATCCTGCAGAACAATGAGCCAAATAAACCCTGGTTCTTTATAAAAGTACCCAGCCTCAGGTAGCCCTTTTTAGCAATGCAGAGGGACGAACACAGGGGGATTTTCCTGGATTATCCAGGTGGGCCCAATGTAATCACAATAGTCTTCATAAGTAGAAAAGGGAGGCAGAAGACTCAGAAGAAGAGAAGTGACAACAAAAGCAGAGTCAGAGTGCTGTGAAGTGAGAAGGACTCAACCATCTATTGATGGCTTTCAAGACAAAAGGTCCACAAGCCAACAAATGTGTGTGGTCTCTAGAGCTGTGAAAGGCAAGGAACCAGATTCTCCCCTAAGGCCTCCAGAGAGAGTCCAGCCCTGCTAACAAAGGACTTCCTGTCTCCAGGACAATAAGATAATAAATGTGTGTTGTTCTTAGCTGCTCTCGTTTGGTGTTAAGTTTTGTGATAATTCATTACAGAAACAAATGAATTACAGAAAAAAATACAGTGTCTTTTATCAAATAAACACACTTCGCCTTTTCCTCCTTCCTTGTTGTTGCATGGCATGCAGACATGGAGTGGATGGCAGCCACCTCACAATCTTAAAGCCATTTGCATGAGGATGAAACCTTTGTGCTTGGGACATCAGAGCAGATAAAAAGAGTCTGGGTTTCTGATGAGCCACCAGCCCTCAGATGTTCATCCCTGAACTTCCTGTCACAAAAAAACACAGGAAATGTGCTGTGCTTAAGTGGTATGTCAGAGCCGACACTCATCAATTTGTGAAAGGTAACTGTTAAATTTTTCAGAATTTCAAAGATCCAAGATGGCCCTTTTAGGAACAGCTCAGGATTGCAGCTCTCAGTGAAAGCGCAGAGGGTAAGTAGATGCCACATTTCCAGGTGGATCTTTATTGTCTACAGACCAGGAGATTCCTAGGCAGAGGAGCCCTATGGGTCACCAGAGCGGCTGTTTTGGCCAGCGTAGCTGTTGTAGCCAGCGCGGATGTTTTGCTGGCACTGTGGTGTGGTGGCTCTCCAAACAAAATCCACTCATCTGGTTGCCCTTTTAAGCTGGCCAGGAGATTCCCGGGCAGCACCATTGTTTCAGCTGATGCAGGGGGTCACCGCACGGGAAATGACGCAGATCCCGGCGCCCTTTCAGCAGGCAACTGGAACACCTAGGAGAGAGTCAACCATTCAACTTAAAAAAAAAAAAAGGCTCTGAGGCAGGGAGCCAAGAGATCAGGCTCAGTGGGTTCCACCCCCACAAAAACACACACACAAAAAACGCAATTGGAAATGGTTAGGGTTGAGAGTTTCACAGCAAGCACAGCTGAATCCAGGACGGTGCAGCTCGGTGGGGAAAGGCCGTCCACCATTACCAAGGCACTCCATCCCTACAGAGGTAGTCAGCCATTTCTGAGGCAGCTTGCTGTTGCTGAGGCAACCTGCCATATCAGAGAGAGTCCACCATTACATAGGCAGGCTGCCATTGCTGAGGCAGTTCTAACCACACCCATATAAACAGGACTACAGGGAAGCTCAACAGCAGCAGGGCAGAGCTCAGCAAAGCCTCTGCAGGCAGACAGTGACTAGGATGCCTCCTTGCCGGGCAGGACAGCCCTGAAAAAAAAAAAAAAAGAGGCAGCAGCACAACAGACACTCAAAAATAAAGCCCTAACTCCCTGGGACAGAGCACCTGGAGAACAAAAGGCGGTTTATGAGTTCTGCTTAAGCAGACTTAAACGTACCTGCCTAGCAGCTCTGAAAGAACAACAGAGCTCACAACTCAACACTTGAGCTTCTATAAAGAACAGACTGTCTCCTCAAGCAGCTCCCTGAACCCTGTATATCCAAAGAATCACCTCACAAAGGTTGATCAGACTGACATTTGGTGGGCATCATTCTGGGACAAAGATAGCAGCAGAAGAAACTGGTAGCAAACCTTACTGTTCTGCAGCTGCTGCAGGTGATCCCCGGGCAAGCAGGGCCTGGAGTGGACCTCAGCAGTCCTACAGCATGGACCTCAGCAGTCCTACAGCAGAGGGGCCAGACTGTTAGAAGAAAAACTAAGAAACAGAAATAACTTCATCATCGACAACCTGCACGTCCACTAAGAGACCAATCTGAAAATCAGCAACTACACACACGACAGGTGGATGAATCCACAAAGATGGAAAGAAACCAGCACAAAAAGCGGGAAAACACCTGAAACCAGAACACCTCTCCTCCTACAATGGATCATAACTCTTCACCAGTAAGAGAACAAACCTGGATGGAGAATGACTGTGACTAAATGATGGAATCAGACTTCAGAAGGTGGGTAGTGAGAAACTTCTGTGAGCTAAAAGAACATGTTCTAACGCAATGCAAAGAAACTAAGAACCTTGAAAAAAGATTTAAGGAAATTATAACAAGAATGGACAACTTAGAGAGGAACATGAGTGAATGGATGGAGCTGAAAAACACAACATGAGAACTTCGCGAAGGATGCACAAGTTTCAACAGCCGAATTGACCAAGCAGAAGAAAGGACATTAGAGGTTAAAGATCAACTCAATGAAATAAAATGAGAAGGCAAGATTAGAGAAAAAAGCGCAAAAAGGAAGGAACAAAGTCTCCAAGAAATGTGGGACTATGTGAAGAGACCTAATCTACATTTGACAGGTATACCTGAATGTGGCGAAGGGAAAGAATCCAAGCTGGAAAATACTCTTCAGGATATTATCCAGGAAAACTTCCCCAACCTAGCAAGGCAGGCCAATATTCAAGTCCAGGAAATACAGAGAACACCACAAAGATATTTCTTAAGAAGAGCAACCCCAAGGCATATAATCGTCAGATTCACCAGGGTTGAAATGAAGGAGAAAATGCTAAGTGCAGCCAGAGAGAAAGGTCGGGTTACCCACAAAGGGAAGCACATCAGACTCATAGCAGATCTCTCCGCAGAAGCCCTACAAGCCAGAAAAGAGTGGGGGCCAATATTCAACATCCTTAAAGAAAAGAACTTTCAACCCAGAATTTCATTTCCAGCCAAACTGAGCTTCAAAACTGAAAGAAAAATAAAATCCTTTGCAAACAAGCTAGTACTCAAAGATTTTGTCACCACCAGGCCTGCTTTACAAGAGCTCCTGAAAGAGGAACTACACATAGAAAGGAACAACCAGTACCAGCTACTCCAAAAACATACCAAATGGTAAAGAGTGTCAAAATGAAGAATCTGCATCAACTAACGGGCAAAATGGCCAGCTAGCATCAAAATGGCAGGATCAAATTCACACATAACAATAGTAACCCTAAATGTAAATGGGCTAAATGCCCCAATCAAAAGACACAGACTGGCAAATTGGATAAAAAGCCAAAACTGATCAGTGTGCTGTATACAGGAAACCCATCTCATATGCAAGGATACACAAAGGCTAAAAATAAAGGGACTGAGGAAGATTTACCAAGCAAATGGAGAGCAAAAGAAGCAGGAGTTGCAATTCTCATCTCTGATAAAATAGACTTAAAGCAACAAAGATCAAAAGATACAAAGAAGGACATTACACAATGGTAAAAGGATTGATACAACAAGAAGAGCTAACGATCCTAAATATATATGGACCCAATGCAGGAGCACCCAGATATATAAGGCAAGTTCTTAATGACTTACAAAGAGACTTAGACTCCCACACAATAAAAGTGGGAGACTTTAACACTCCCCTGTCAATATTAGGCAGATCAACCAGACAGAAAATTAACAAGGATATCCAGGACCTGAACTCAGACCTGGAACAAGCAAACCTGATAGACATTTACAGAACTCTCCACCCCAAATCCACAGAATATACATTCTTCTCAGCACCACATCACACCTACTCTAAAATTGACCACATAATTGGAAGTAAATCACTCCTCAGCAAATGCAAAAGAATGGAAATCACAACAAACAGTCTCTCAGACCATAGTGCAACCAAGTTAGAACTCAGAAGTCAGAAACAAACTCAGAACCTCACAGCTTCATGGAAACTGAACAACTGGCTCTTGAATGTTGACTGGATAAACAATGAAATGAAGGCAGAAATAAAGAAGTTCTTTGAAACCAACGAAAATGAACACACAATATACCAGAATCTCTGAGACACATTTAAAGCAGTCTCTAGAGGAAAATATATAGCAATAAGTGCCCACATGAGAAGAGTGGAGAGATCCAAAATTGACATCCTATCATCAAAATTGAAAGAGCTAGAGGAGCAAGATCAAAAACACTCAAAGCCTAGCAGAAGACAAGAAACATCTAAGATCAGAGCAGAACTGAAGGAGATAGAGACACAAAAAGCCTTGAAAAAATCAATAAATCCAGGAGCCGGTTTTTCGAAAAGATCGACAAAATAGACCACTAGCCAGACTAATTTAAAAAAAGAGACAGAATAACCAAATAGATGCAATAAAAAACAATAACGGGGAAATCGCCACAGATCCCACAGAAATTCAAGCTGTCATCAGAGATTATTATAAACAACTCTATGCACATAAACTAGTAAACCTGGAAGAAATGGATAAATTACTGGACACTTGCATCCTCCCAGGCCTAAACCCTGAATAGAACAATAACAAGGTCTGAAGTTGAGGCAGCAATTAAGAGCCTACCACCCAAAAATAGCCCAGGTCCAGATGGGTTCACAGCCAAATTCTACCAGTCATACAAAGAGGAGTTGGTACCATTCCTTTTGAAACTATTCAAAACAATCCAAAAAGAGGAATCCTTCCCAAATCATTTTATGAAACCAATATCATCCTGATACCAAAATCTGGCAGAGATTCAACAAGAAAAGAAATCTTTAGGCCAATATCCCTGATGAACATAGATGCAAAAATCTTCAATAAAATACTGGCAAACCAACTGCAACAGCACATCAAAAAGTTTATCCACCATGATCAAGTAGGATTCATCCCGGGGATGCAAGGCTGGTTCAACATACGCAAGTCTAGAAATGTAATTCACCACATAAACAGAACCAAATACAAAAACCACATGATTATCTCAATTGATGCAGAGGGGCCTTTGACAAAATTCAACAGCCCTTTATGTTAAAAATCCTCAATAACCTTGGTATTGACAGAACATATCTCAACATAATAAAAGCTATTTATGACAGTCCAACAGTCAATATCACACAGAATGGACAAAAACTGGAAGCAGTCCCTTTAAAATCTGGCACTAGACAAGGATGCCCTCTCTCACCACTCCTATTCAATATAGTACTGGAAGTTCTAGCCAGAGCAATCAGGCAAGAAAAAGAAATAAAGGGTATTCAAATAGGAAAGGAGGAAGTCAAATTGTCTCTATTTGCAGACGACATGATTGTATATCTAGAAGATCCCATCGTCTCAGCCCAAAATCTCCTGAAACAGATAAGCAACTTCAGCAAAGTCTCAGGATACAAAATCATTGTGCAAAAATCACAAGCATTTCTATACACCAATAACAGACTTAAAGAGAGCTAAATCAAGAACAAATTGCCATTCACAATTGCTACAAAGAGAATAAAATACCTGGGAATACACCTAACAAGGAACATAAAGGACCTCTTCAAGGAGAACTACAAACCACTGCTCAACAAAATAAGAGAGGACACAAACAGATGGAGAAACATTCCATGTTCATGGTTAGGAAGAATCAATATCATGAAAATGGCCATACTGCGCAAAATAATTTACAGATTCAACACTATACCCATCAAGCTACCGGTGACCTTCTTCACAGAACTGGAAAAAAACACCTTCAACTTCATATGGAACCAAAAGAGAGCTCACATACCCAAGTCAATTCTAAACAAAAGAACAAAGCAGAAGGCATCACACTACCAGACTTCAAACGATACTGCAAGGTTACAGTAACCAAAACAGTGTGGTACTGGTACCAAAACAGAGATATAGACCAATGGAACAGAACAGAGGCCTCGAAGGCAACACCACACATCTACAACCATCCAATATTTGACAAAAACCTGACAAAAACAAACAATTGGGAAAGGATTCCCTGTTTAATAATTGGTGTTGGGAAAACTGGCTAGCCATGTGCAGAAAGCAGAAACTGGACCCTGTCCTGATACCTTACACTAAAATTAACTCCAGATGGATTAAAGACTTAAACATAAGACCTAACACCATAAAAACCCTAAAAGAAAACCTAG